AAAAAATAATTATAAAAATTATAAAAATTAATGAAATTTTTTTTTATGACAATAATGAAAAAATAAAAAAAATGAATGAATTGTAATTATTTTTAATGATTCGCTGAAACCATGGATCATTTCCGCATGTTTTGCTGCTTTGAATTTAATCATCTCGTGCATGCCCTCTACGATCTCCAAGGAACTCAGAGCGGACGGGAAACACAGAAGAGGCTGTATGCTTTGCTTTGTGCAGGCGGTCTGGAGCGCAGCGGGGCGGAGCGGAGCACTGATGGAGTATGTGGGATTTCGGGGTTAGCATGACGTGTTGCTGTTAGCATAAACAAAACATGTTGCACAATGCTTGCACACTGTTGCACTTTTATCCACAACTTTCTTTCTGCCGTCATCGTAGGTCACTCTAAATGCAAAGTGGTCCCATACAGCAGACCTATAAAGTGCTGCTGGCGCGTCTTCCAACTCCTGTTCTTTCCCACTCGCCATACCCACACAATTCTCCACAACAACTGATTTTTTTCTGCTACACCCAGCTATGCTGCTTCGCTTCTTCTTCTTCTTGTTTACTACTGGTGGTTGGCTTTGGTCGCAGTACCGCCACCTTCTGCTCTGGAGTGTAAACGCTTCGCCTATGAGAAAAAGGAGCAGCGCATGAACCGAACGAAACACACGCGAACCGAACCGAACCGAACGGTTCGGACGGTTTTCATAAACCGTTCCATCCCTACTAATAACACCCATTTAATGGGATAACATCTGAAGCGACTGCAAACAGCCACTCAGTATTCACTGTTTAATGGACGACAGAACCAACATAAGGAGGAACCCCATGAGAGGATGCTCAGGTCCCACCTGTCTGATCGTTTTAGAAATTATCTCTAAATTATTTCACTCAAATAAATATATGGATGCTCTGCCATTCAAGCACTAAACTAGTTTTCTCTGTAATGTTATCGTGGTCAAAACAAGCTATGGAAAGCTGTTTTGATATGTGTTGGTTTGAAAAATGGCACTCTGGGTGTCTATAAATGAATTTAATATCTCCATATTACTATTGCTACTGGTCAGCATTTGTATTATTTTGACTATGAAGAAATGCATTTCAGATAAATACATATTCAGTCAAGCTGATAAATGTCAAAACTGCCACTTAAAATGTGTAAACATTTCTAGATACATAAAACTTAAGTCTTACAAGTACAATTTAGTTTAATTTACTTTCTGAAATTCAGTTTCTGCTGCAAAAATGTAATTTAGAACCTCTTTTATCATAGTTCCGAATAGGAATGTGATTTTGATCAGGAAGATTTCTATTTTAGGGATCTACAAATGGATCAAGAGAGAGGAGAGTGCTTTTAATAAATGTCAAAATGGATTGCTAAAGGTACTGCATAGAAAAGTATGCATTAACTCTAGCAGTAATATTCTCTTTTGCAGTTTTCCTCTACTTTGCAGCAGTTTTTCTCTGTTTTAAACACCCTCTGCATTTTTTTTTTAAATTCTGCATTAAAATCTGTAGTTCCAGGGGTGTGAAATTGACACTTCCTGCTGCCATGGTGACTCGTCTGATTGGGACTCCAATGATAATGGCTTTTCATACTTGTTGCGCACGTGGTTAACACTGAGTGTATTTACCTAGAGTTGATTGAACAATGTCTCAGAATGGGAACTAATAAGGTGATGACTTAAGAAGCTTGTTAATGGTTGAGATTTACAAAGAGAGGCACATTGAGTGCATTCTGCATCACTGTCAATATTAAACAATGTAAAATAAATTCCATACCAGACTTTGCTAGGATTATTCTACAGTTCTGTTCAGGCATGCCTTCAGCATGATCGTTTTTCTTACAACCAAGATGGTCTGGCTCTGCTTAAGGATGTTCAGTTCTGCCCTCTTCTAGGTGGAAAACACATTACAACACTGAAAGAAGTTTGGTCTAAGCAAGAGATATAGACTATTGAGCTGGATCTTTGTTTAATAATATCATACACAGCAATAAAGCAATCCAGTCACTTCACATCTTTGTTTACAATGCTGGTTACCTCATCACAGAGCAAACAGTGCATTTATATCCATGTTTTTATTTTTTTTTTAAAACAATGTTTATGTCAAGCCTGTCCTACAGGTATGAAATGTTTACCTGCTTTGACATACATTCATGGGTAATAATGTTAATCGGAAATCATCTGTGCTGAAGTCATAAAAACATCTAAAACCAGCAGGACAGTGGCCCTCATGGACTGACTTTTGGACAACCTTGTCTATTATGAGGTAATCAGGTGGGATTGATTTTAATCTAAGCCAATATTTGATAAACAATTGTTCACAAACAATTAAGTTCACTAACAAACCAAATTTAGAATAAATTATGGGATTTAAATTGGACCAGAGGTTGATGATGAAGTTTTATGCAACCATAGAGATGCTAGTTTGACCCCCAAATCCATCTCTCTCAGGCTTTTGTCCCTGGGGAAGACTTTTCACCTGCATTGCCTACAGATGGTGGCCAGAGGTTCGGATGGTGCTGTGTACAGCCTCCTTACTTCTGGGGCCCCAGGGCAGTTGTGGCTTGTCACTTTCAGTGTGTGTGATTGACTGAATGTAAAGTGATTTGAGTTTTTTTTAGGAGTTTCTGCTCCTTCAAAAAAACAAAAACAAAAAAAAAAGAAGAAAAAAAATAGACTTTGTACCTAGGAGGAGGGGAAACCGGTCTCTTCACACTGAAGCACAGACCGTGAGCTTGACCAGGACCATGATACGGATCTTGACCCAGAATGACAACTTTAACCTAAAATCAAAGACATGAGGGTCAAGTTCATTGCATTCATAACAATTAGTACAATTAAATAATTAATTATTTCTATACAGTTAAGCACTTATTATGCAAAACCCAAGTAGACACTGATTTGAAACAAGATTTAATTTGACCAACATACTTCCAAGAGCTGAGGTTCATCAGCAAAGAAAAACCTTTAAAATACAGTGGAATTATGCAGAAGCTTTGTCATCAGTTATCAGAGGGCCAACATAAACTATTGGCAATTCCTTTCTGACATCACATTTCTAATATAGGCATGACAAGCAGATTTTTCTACCCAAAATTAGTGTTTATCTAAATCTTTCGACAGATACCCATGTCATTTCCTATGGGCAAAAATAATAAACTTAAGGCTTAGACAAGACTTTATTGTCATTTTGTACACACGATGTATACAAAAACAAATTTTGTTTAGTAGAGCTGAAGATATTTTCATTTTTTAAAGTGCAGCAGTGATAAAAGGTAAGCAGTAGTAAAAGCATGTCTGTACAAAAGGTGTGTGTTTCTTCTTATTGAAAAGGCCAAAAAGTGTAAATATGATTTTTGTCATTTTCCCTTTTAAACTCTTTCATTATCCTCTAAGACTAGTGTCTTCAATGTTATCCAGGCTAAGGATCCCCAAACTGATGGCGAGATGGAGCTGGGACCCCCTAATTATATAGATTGTATGAAATTGTGTTATATCAAACTGGTCCTATAGTCACTCTATTACAGATTGAGTCATGTAACCAAAGTAATTTCTCCCTGGGATTACTAAAGTATTTCTGATTCTGATTCCTGGTTGATGGGACAGGTGTTATGAATGAAATGGTGCCCAGTTTGAAAGAGCTTCTGTGTGTCTCTGAATGTGTGCATTGACGACTGAAAGACATCTTCTGCCTCCATTTATCTGTTTACTACAGTGTTTTGAATTCATGTTAATGTGAATTTAAAGACATTTCCATTGAAATGTCTTTAAGGGGAAAAATTGCATGGAATAATAAAAAAAATAAAACTAAAAAAAGTCTAATGAACCAAAACTTTCGCGACCTCCATCCAGTACCTCCGCGGACCCCCTGTTGAAGACCTCCGATCTAGAGATCTATTTAGAAATCTTGGTCCCATGGCTGTAAAGAACAAACTTGATCTACCTCAAGCATGAATAAGTTGGGGTTTAACTTAAAGTAATTCTACAAATACATTTAGAATGTCTAAATCAACATTTTTGTTCCGCATTTAAATGACTTTACTATTGCTTGACATTATTTAATGTTCATGCAAAGCGTGAAGTAAAAGGAGCATGAGCTTCACTCACATCTCTAATGCTGCACATCTCGGTCCAGGTAAACACTTGATCAGCAGGTGGGTAAACTGTGCAGCGTTTCCTCTCTTCAGACACAAAATCCATCAGCTGTGGTAAAAAAATTAAAAAAACATTAAAACCCCAATGATAAACAGAAGCCGTGTGAAGAATCACATCCCCTCACCTTTTTAAAGTAAGGCTTTACAAACTCAGCTTGTAGCTCCTTCCTCCAGCTCTCCCCGAACCCTGGAGGCGTGTGAGCGGTAGCCAGCCTCTCCAGCGCCGCTCTCTTGTTGCGGGCGATCCTATCCAGCTGCTCCGGGGACAGAGGACACGGAGGCTGGCTCTCTGGCTCTGCTTCCACCGCAGCGCATTTTCGCTTCTTCCGGAGGATTTTGGTATATTGAGAAAAACACAGAGCCGGTGAGAATATTTTCTCTCGAAGAGAAGACGTTTGAAGCCGTGTTAGCACTCTCATTTCAAGCGAGCTGACGCGTTTGGCAACGTTCGACAACACAGCGGTGTTGAACGCCGCTCGGAGGGTTCTGCGCTTCTCGCGGGAAATATAAACAACAATGTAAAATACTAAATTAAAAGCAATGCGTGTTTTAATGGCAATGCGCATGATATAATGTTACCCGCCAATGTTAACTCAATAAATTTTAATGGAAGTAGTGATGCTCACCGGTTCTCTAGCGTCCTTCTCGGTTTCATTTACCTCCTTAGAAACCCTCTTTTTCGACACCGGCGAGAAAAACGAGTTGATAGTCTTCTGTCCAATCATTTTTGTTGCAAACACTTTGGCGGTTAGCTGCAGGAAACCTTAAGATATTAGTCTATCTAAAGAGCATAAGGCCACGAGTTAAACTTGCAGCACCAGAGCGATAGTTTGTAAGAATTCGCGCCTAAAACGTGACGAAAGGAGATTATTATAATGAGCTTGAGTAGTGTTCAAGACACAGAGCCAGTGTTTGCTAATATTACACAACCTTCGTAAGACTGTTTCGGTAACGACTGCATTTTTTTGTACATAACATGTTCAGTCGGTGATTTATTAACTTCAAAAAGCTAAACCAATGTTTGCATTTACTACAGTGGTGTAGTTTATGTGTTTTCTCCTCATATCTATGTGTTGCAGCTAAAAACATGAGTTAAGATTCGTTGTTTTCAGTTGTATGAAGGATGACGCACTGAACGTAGTTGTTAGAAAAGCAAGCTTATAGTTGAGTTTGTACAAGATCTTAATGTGAAAGTGTTAAGGAGTGTTGCAGAATTGCGGAAATTATAATGCTGGATATAAATTCGCTTAAAGGAGCGATAAACGATACTGACACCTATTTTTATTATTATTATTTTTTAATCATATAAACCCCCCTTTAAAAAGGGTTGTGAGGAAAAGGGTTGTGAGGAAAAGTGAGGACAATGAGGAAAAGCTAACTTCAAGGCGACACATGAAGATGATTCGGCTTCTTTTGGGTACTTTCAAGACTTTTTCTGGTTTGCTTCTTTAGCTGGTTTCCATGTTTGCGGGCTGCTTTTGGTGATCCTGCAAATTCTTATTAACCTGACAACAGCCAGATGCGGAGCGAGACATGCATCTGGCTGTTGTCAGGTTAAATTCTTATATGATTGGCTCGGGAACCAAAAAGTGAACATGGGCTACTCACACCTAGGTAGTTCTGCACCATGTCTAGGGTTGGGAATCGATATGATTTTCATGATTCCGATTCCCTGATCGATTCTGTGAAACAATTCGATTCCCTTATCAATTCTATGAAACAATTGGATTCCCTGATCGATTCTGTGAAACGATTCAATTTCCTTATCGATTCTGTGAAACGATTCAATTTCCTTATCAATTCTGTGAAACGGTTCAATTCCCTTCTCGATTCGGTGAAACGATTTGATTCTGTGAAACTGTTCGATTCCCTTATCGATTCTGTGAAATGATACGATTCCTGCCAAACGGTGCCATGGAATACACAGAACCGGTTCTGAACAAGAATCAGTTTTCGATTCCCGTCCATAACCATGTCTCTAGAGAAAAACCTGTTTACTTCCATGTAATACATAGTAGGGTTTTTTTTTTTTTGTCTTAACAAAATTGGTGATATTGGCAAGATTGCAACTTTTTCCACCTGAGGTTTGAGATTACAGCTCAACTAAGCAATGTTGGTAGTATGGCTAACATATTCTAAGGTTATGTTTAAATATTGTTAGGGGTATAGTTTAAATTTAGGATTTTATTTTTTATTTTATTTTAATTATAAATGTAGACTGAAATGAAAGGCTTATATAGTGATACATGTTGCAGCCATATTGCACAGCCCTATCAACAACTAGATATCACTACTGGCAAAAAGGATGAAGAAGATAACGGGAGGTAGTAGGGGGATGATAATGCGGCATTGGATTTTATTTGAATCTCTTATTTTATTGAAACACCACAATTGTGAAATTGTGAAGTAGCAGAATATTGACAGAGTTAGTTGCCTCTCAGCTACTGGTAACCACAGCTGTTGATGCTTCTAGAGCAGAGGTGTCTAAAGTGAGTCCTTAAAGGGCCATGTCCTGCAGATTTAGGAACTTTTCCTGCTCTAAACACAAGTGGAACAGATGGCCTGTTAATCAGGCATCAAAGAGGAGCACATGTTCTTAAGCAGAGAAACACCTAAAACATGGTTCCTCAATTTCAGTCCCCAAGGTCTGGTGTCCTGCACCTCTTGGGTGATACTTTGCTCCAACAAAACTTGAGCTCAATAACAGCTCATTTGCAGGACTCTGGAGATCTTCCCTCTATCAAATATACATCTAATTGTAGTCTGTAGCTCCTCTCACTTGCTTCTCTTCATTCAGCACTCATGGGCTCAGCAGTAAGTTTAGCATTTGGAGAAGAGGGTGAAAGACACCAGAGCCAACAATGCAGCAGAAGCTTCCTATTAAACCTGGTTTCCCTATATGGCAACAGAACTATAGGCTGATTTCTTTTTTACTTTAACGCATTAATGCAATAATTCATGCAAATGGAGGCCCAACCACATCAGGGCACATTTTGTGCAATACTTAGACATAGTTTTTACTAGCCTTACATAATGGATTAACATTTTTGGGAATCTTTTTTAATATCTAAAAATTGAATTTGGGGTTTTATTTAGAGGTAGGCTACATTCATAGACATTAACAGAATAACCTCCATGTGAAATGAATCTACTTCATAACTTGCCTAAATAAATGTTTAAATCGCAGTCAGTGTTTTTGTCATGCACCTGTATAAACATTTTTTGTTATTCATAAGTATAGAAGAAAGAAGTTTGATTTGTGTCACATCAAGGGGAAAAAAAATGTTTCTTATGGTTCTTTGTTTTATAAAAATCTGGGTATTTTCTAGCCAAAGAAGCGTATTGCTGATTGACCCTTATTGATAAATCTAAAAGCAAGAAGTTAGGAGTTATTAGTGGAGTTAATGGACAATTATTAGTGGGATTAGTGGAGCCATGGCATAGAGATTGGAATCCTGAGGTTCTGAGTTTCAGCCCCACTCCCACAGAATGCCACTCTGGGTCTCTGAGCAAGACCCTTAACCCCACACCGCTCCCCGAGCGCCCCCCAATGGCAGCCCACTGCTCTCCAAGGGGATGGGTTAAATAGAGAGGTAAATTTCTCCAATGTGAGATCAATAAAGTTCAATTATTTATTATTATTATTATTTAGAAATATTGAGCTATTTTAATCAAAATCAACATAATATCCATTTCCAAAGAGCAATGTACAGGCATATATTTTTTAAGTTTTTTGCTATTATAAAATATATATTTTTTTTTTACTATACAGGGAAAAGCTGTTCATCAGTGTCCCTAATGGAGCAGGTCCTTCGAGGACAGAATAAACGTCTGTGCAGCAATGATGTCCCGCGTAGAAGTCCTAGAAAAAGGACTAAGATGGAGGAGCATGAGAGCATGAAGGAGGAGGAGGACGCTTTTGAAGGGTTCCCGTATCCTATTCCTTGGCAAAAACTGGAAGCGGAAGGACTGGACTGTGATTATGCTTTACTCTTCACAAAGGAGGAGGCAGATAACCTTTTCAGACAGCTTGAGGAGGAGGTGGTGTACTCAACAGGTAGAGGTAACTTTCGTAATGGTACGGCTGTAATTTGCAGTATAGTGGTGTGATACCTGGTTGTTTTTGTTCTCACAGGAGAGGAATCAAAGGTCCAGATTTTCGGAAAGGTTTATGATATACCAAGAAAACAAGCGACCTATGGGAATGCTGGCCTTACTTACACTTATTCCGGGGTAAAGCGTCTAGCTTGCCCCTGGACTCCGACCTTGGAGTATATCCGAAACGCAGTCACAGATGCAACCGGCCAGAGTTTCAACTTTGTGTTGATCAATAGGTATAGTGGTCCTTTACAGCTAATCCAAAGGTTGGAGTTGAATGTACTGAGCCTCTCTGTCTCTCCACCAGGTACAAAGATGGACGAGATCACATGGGGGAGCATCGGGACGACGAGAAGGAGCTGGACCCCTCCTGTCCCATTGCCTCTGTCTCTTTAGGAGCAGCTAGAGACTTTATCTTTAGACACAGAGATGCTAGAGGGAAACAGAGCAGCCGACAAATTGATCCTGTGAAGCTGGAGCTTGCTCATGGAAGTCTGCTCCTCATGAACCCTCCGACAAATACCTACTGGTACCACAGCCTCCCTGTTCGGAAGAAGGTCCTCTCGCCTCGCATTAATCTCACCTTTAGACGAATCCTGGTGGACATCAAAAAAACAATAAAAAAGGAAAATAACAGCAAGGACCCAGGTTAGAGAGCTCATTCTGAAAAAAAAAAAAAATTCTGTCAAACTAAATAAAGACTTAAAAGAACTTTCAAACTTTTCTGGTAAATCTGTCCGACCCACAGTATATAGCCAGTGACATATAAAGCTGCGCATCTTGTTTAGTTCATCGATCTGTTTTTGTTGTAAATCTGTATATTTATATAATAATGGTAGAATCTGAGCATCACAAAAAGGTTTCTACTCCTTCTCTAATGACATCACAGAAGTAGGACTTTTTGAGTCTTTCCGTTCCTTTTATTCACCTCAATAAAATGCACATCTATCAGTGTTCCACTGGGGTCAGCTGACACACTTAAATCTTGTGCCTTTCTGTCAACAACCTAAATCTACACAAAGTTTTATGATTTTTTTATTACTTTTCAATTTGCATACTCCCACAGTACAGAGGATACATATACATATTTTATTACCCAGCTGTGGTTTTAATGTTTGTGTACAATTGTCAGTAAGAAATAAAAAATAGTGGCTGGAAAACATTGTTTATGAAAGCTCCTCCACAAGTAGATCAAACTAATTTGTAGTTTTTAAGGAATCATTTTTACCTTCAGTGCAATTACAGTATGCCACGACGTAATGCATTGATCTGAAAATCAACCTCAGACGCAACGCACACAGTGACGAGGGTTTGATCCGTCAGATGGAGTTAAATCACAAAGAATTCAATGTTGAATTGGGGCGGCAGCTAAATGCTGGGCGATGGGTAGCAGCCAAAACGTTGCAATTTCACATAATCCTGACGAGATCCGAAAAACTNTTAATGGAAAAAATGGAGGGGGACGAATATAACAAAAAAAGTTTAATCAACCAAAACTTTTGCGACCGCCATGCAGTACCTCCGAGGATAGGAATTTTGGGTTTTCATGAGCTGTATGTCAAAATCATCCGTATTAAGACAATAAAAGACCTTAAATATTTTAGTTAGTGATCAATTCATCTACTATATATGAATGTTCAAGTTTTATCATTACATTATAGAAAATGATGGACTTTATAACAATATGCTAATATTTTGAGAAGGACCTGTGGTGTAGACTTTACACTCCCGTCCTGTAGGTGGCGGTGAAGCGCCGTTAAGGTAGAAATGTGAGGCCAACAGAAGCAGGAGAGGAACAGATGTTGCTGTCGTAGCCAGACAGCGGCTCGGAGACGCAGCCAGCCGGGGGATGGTTTCTTCATTTTTACATTATTATCGATAAATCTCAACAAAATGAAGCTTCCTTACTCATGACCCGGTGAGGAGTGGGTATGTTCGTCTTTAACGCGTCTTCTGCGGCTCCTTGTGTTACAATGCTTCAGTTTTCAGAGCAGCTGGCCTGGTCACAACAAGCACAAAGAAGCCCCTTATTTATTGTCTTCCACTCGAGCGAACTTTTCAATCGACGACATTTGATAGATTCCTGATCCGAGTAGATGAGCAACGAGGCCCTGCTGACCCTGCCGTCCGTTTTTAGGAGTCCAATCTCGGGGTGTTAACGCTGGAGCGATGCTAATGTTAGCGGGGAGAGGATAAACACTGCTGGGCCAACGTTTGTGTGATCAGGCCCTGCTCTAAAAGCTGTTAAAGCTCCATTCAGAGAACATTTGATCTGCTATTTACTGTTACTGAAGCCTCAGGTTTATACCTATGATTTAAAATCCCATTTATGTCTGAATTAGTTTAGCTTTAGCTTCGATCTTATGATGTGAAGCTTTTTATGACATAAAACAATCAGGAAAGCTAATCTGTTTAACATGTTTCTACTCCTGCTGTAAATGGTCAAACTGAAACCTTCAGTTCTTCTGAAGGAGGAAAGCTGGAAGTGATTTAATGATGAATCACAGTCTGAGAATGAATGATGAATTACTGCTGTAGATCATTCTCCTCATCTATTGATCTGATTCCTGTGAACTTGGCTTAAGATGATTTCATTGTGTGAATAATTGGTGTTATTTGATGAATCCAATACAGACAGAGGTTATCAAACTGTCATGTCTGCAACATGACTCATGGACTTCATGAGCAAACACGCCTCTCTTATGGTCAATTTAAATGAATAAATTCTGTGCATCAGGATATAATAAAGATCGAGTTTTATCATGAATTGAATTTAATTAGGTTGACTATCATAATCTGGGATTTGAGATTATGGCAGATGTTCAAAGTCTCATATAAGGCTGTTAGAATAGAATAGAATCTGTTAATGGAGCTTTTTTTTTATGTCTATTCAGGATTACAGTAATGTGCTTTAGTTTTGGGTTATTGGTAGAGCTGTCATGATACTAAAACCTAGGAAAATATTCTATACCATTTTTCAATAGCATGGGAATGAAAAGTGCCAAACAATCAACTGCATGAAAAAAATGTATTAAGATGAAAGATGAACCCTTTTTAACACATATTACCTGCTTTTTCAACAGAATCAGAGATTCTATTAAGTATGCAGATAAATGTAACACTAGTAACCCAAATATAACACGTCTCTCTCTCTCTATAGATAGATATAGATAGATGGATATAGAGATATATATATATTTATAGAGATGGATATATATATATCTATTTATATACATATATATATACCGTAAATTCTCTAATATTGGCCTGTATTCCAACAGCGGCCGGGACTCTAACATTGGCCGGTCTCGCTGTCAGAGGAGGTAAATAATGGCCGGTCTCTAATACAGGCCGGGGCTATAAACGTTTTTTCTGGGCATACCTCAACATTATACTTGTGGTAGTAAGTAACATACAA